ATCTGGGTTCATGCAGGTAAAAAGGAGTGGGCTCAAGGTCTAGGGAAGAACGCAATTTTCAGGTGGACACTTAACTTCTGCACATATCCTTTTGGCCTGAGCCTACACAGTCACACTTAGCTACAAACAAGGCACTGTTATTGTCCCTATTTTACAGATGAGGAGACTTGCACAAATGTCACTGCTAGTGAGCATGGAGCCACCCCTGAGCCCTGCCCAAGCTCATCATCATGACACTGCAAACCCACACCACCACCCATTTCCTCAAGCCAATGCTACTGTTTTCCCCCTGTATACTGCTTTCTAACATGTCATTTCCACACGTACCTGTTTTTTATATAGTTGTAGTCAGAATGCCCATATTATCTGATTTTTAGCTTTTCTCACTTAACAAAATATATTTTTTCAAATTTTATAAGTCCATTATTTTTTAAATGGCTGAACGGTATTCTATTTTTATGTTGATTTTCTATAAATTATTTAACTGTTGAACTATTGCTTGGCATTTAGATATTTTAAATTGCTCATTTTTTATAGATGACTTTGAATCAGGCATGTTTTTTCATACCTAATTGAGTTGAATTTTTAACCTCTCATAAAACAGAACATTATACTCATTTTCACCTTCAGCGGGTCACCCTGCACATTCTTGGTTCAGCTGGCAATTTAGTTCTTTCTAAGCATGCCAAAGAATAGTGTGTGTGTGGGGGGGGGGCGGAATTATACTGCAGAGTTCAGTATTGGGACAATGCCACTGTTCCAACTTTTCCAAGCCCATTCATTAAATTGGCTCAAGAAGTTATTCTTTTTCTAAAACTTTTCTGCCTAATTTTAAACAGCATTGAATTGTACCTACTTGCATCTTTTAAGCCTTCCTATTTGCTCCCCATTTTCTTCTTGGAAACCCTATACAGGGTCACTATGAGTTGGCACCAACTCCACAGCACCTAGCAACAACAATGTTCACTTCCCCAAGAAGTTCTGGTGGCGCAGTGTTAAGCACTTGGCTGCCAACAGCAAGGTCAGCAGTTTAAACCCACCAGCTGCTCTGCGAGAGGTAGTCTTTCTGCATTTTGTACAGATTATTATTTTTGTTGTTTAGTGCCATCAAGTCAGTTCTGACTCAGGGTTTTTGAAGAATGGCTGGTGAGGTGAGTTTGAACAGCTAACCTGGAGGTTAACTGGCCAGTGCTTATCCTACAGCACCACACCAGGTCTCCTCTGTAAAGATGACAGCCTTTGAAACCCTATAGAGCAGTGCTACTCTGTCCTATAGAGTCGCTGTGAGTGAGAATGGACTTACTAGCAAGGGGTTTTGGATTTATCTACTTCCCAAATGTGCGCTTTACTTCTCTTGAAAAACTTGTCTGTGATTTCCCTATCTGTTCAAAGATAAAGTCTGACTTCAGTCCAAACTAGAAATCCAGGTTGAAAGGAGACAAACGACTGTTAGGATAACTCCTGTGTGGCTTTGATCTCATCTCCATGATTTCAGTAGGGTGTGTTCAGGACACTGGCCTAGAAGTCAGAAGGTCCAGCTCTGATTAGACACTGGTGGCAATGCGATCGTCACTCCGTAAGCTCATTTTCTCTCCCTCAAGAATAATAAATATGTGCCCATTTCATACGATTGGAAAGATCACAGGAGAGAAAGATATACCAGTGTGTGAATGTGTGTGTATACAGTTATTTTAGGGCAGAAAGTAGTTATAATTATTTTAAATTTGACACCATGGAACGTACCATCTCAGCAAACTACACTGCATTCTTTTTTTTTTTATCTTCAGAAATTACATTAGACATTTATTTTCAAAATCCATCCTTTACAGAGAAGATAAGAAATTTCTAAAGTCCATCTTTGGGGTTTTTGGGGTTTCTTGTTGACTAAGCAACATTTTCAGTTGAGAAAAGTGTTTCTTTGTTTTGCTAATATTTTCTGAGGAAGAGAAAGTGGGTGTTAACTGTCCAGATGTAGGTGTTCTGAAAATCAACGCAGGGCTCTTGCCTTTGGATGCAGACATAACATGATTTCGGTTTGCAGAGCTCCGAGTCTTTCTCTCTGGTGTCTTCGGAGTGGGTTTAGCTGAAGGAGTGCTAAGAGTGCTCTTCAATAATGATAGAAAACGTCTACTTTTATCTTGATGTCTAACTGTTCTATTGCATGTTTTACAAGAAATCAACAATTCACTTTTGGAGTCTTTGTACATTTTCACAACTTTTGTTTCTTTAAAACTGAGTGTATAACCCTTTGCTTCTAAATTATGAAGTTTCTGTACTTTGGGTGTCAGTTTAGGCTTGGGTTTGAGGCGCACTCAAGAGTTATCCAGTACCAGCAACTGGAAACAGTATGGACATGTTTCTTCAAAAGTGTTCTTAGCATAGGCGATAGCCGGCTTGACCCGGACAGCTGTCTGTAGTTTTCACCAGGCAGCCTCAAGATAAGTGGTTGGTGAGACCAATGCATTCTTTTTAAAGGACAAAACTCTATCCCGATCCCCCTACTTACCTAATTTTTAAGATAATCACTAAGTATTTTAACTAAATTGATCCTTAAATTATATTCTTCAAGTGTCCTTGGAAAACCTATAATTCATAGAGTTGTCAAGTTGACTCTCACAACTCAGATAAAACTTGTCTCCCTTCTAGGTTGAAAAAAAGGCAAAATGAATGCATGGAAAGGTAATAGGGGGTTTGGAAAGTTGGAGCTGTGGTGTTCTCTTGCCTGTCTCCTCAATGTGACATTTTAAGGGGTCTTGGCGGCACGTTGGATTAAGAGATGAACTGCTAATGTTCAAACCTACCAGCCACTCCATGGGAGAAACATGAGGCTGTCTGCTCTTTTAAAGATTTACTCATTGGGAAATCCTAAAGAGCAAGCTATTTGATTCTGCCCTTTGTTGCTGTTGTTGTTAAGTGCCATCCAGTCAGTGCTGACTCATAGAGACCATACGCACAGCAGAACGAAACACTGCCCGATTTAGAGGACCCAGGAATGGACTAGACAGCGGAGTTCCATTGTTTTTGTTTAGTTTATGTTTACATTGTGACAATATGAAATCTGCAGTGTTATGAATACTTTGATAGAAAACTCAGAGGAAATTAAAAATTCTTTCAACGGAAACATAGTTTAAAATAAATTGATTAAATAAATAAAATAACAAAGCAATTGAAATCTCATGTTAAAACTAAGCTGTAACGCTTCCAAAAGAATGAATGTTCTTTCTCCAGTACTAAGGATATTCTAATAATAATAATTAGATCCGAGGGATCCTTCCTGCCATCCTTAGGCAAACAAAATGAAAAACAAGTTATAACTTATTTTTTGAAAAATCCTCAAATCCTCGCCTAATCCTTGGCTACCAGCCTAGGGGGATGGGGTGGAGGTGGGCTGGGCAGTCAGCCCGGGTCCCACCGCGAAAGGCGCTAGCAGGGAGGTGCGTGCGCGCGGGTTCCTGGGCCCTGCCCTGCTGCAGACAGCAGACCGAGGTGAAGGCGGGAAGGGTCAACAGGGCAAATACTTTCTCAGAATCCTGCAGCCTAGGCCAGCTTCAGCGGTTTTTTTCCTCCGACCAGCGCACTTTTTCTCCCCATCCCCCACACTCGAACTCGTGAGGCTGCAGCTGGTCAAACCAATGGCAGAGTTGGGAAACGCGGGACACAGTTCCCCAGCCCCGGGCGCTCGGGGCCCAGCGAGAGGAGAGCGCCCTACGGGTCCCAGCAACTAGCAAGTGAACCCTCCCCCAGGGGAGGGGTCTATCTGTGGACAGGCTGCTGGGCGCCTGGGAGGGGAGGGGGTGTGTCCGAGGGGCTGGAGCCGACTTGGGAGCGGGGACGCCACAAACCGCTTTCTCTCGGTCAGTCGCAGAGTGTGGCCGCTTCTCTAGAGCTCCCAGCGCGGCGTCGACATGCGCGGGGGCAGCGCGCTCCTGGCCTCGCTGCTCTTGGTGGCCGTACAGTGCCAGCAGAGAGGTGAGCTGGCGGGGAGGGCGCGCGGGACAAAGCCGCTGCCGACTGGGGGTGATGGGATGCATAGATCTCCTGCGTGTCCCTGGAGAGCACCACCGGCGGGGATTGAGAGGGCTGGGGATGCCCTCCCAGTACTTTGGAGCGGTTCCCTGTTGGCCTTCCACAGATAGTTTGCTAGGTCTAGCAGGGTTGTGGTGGCGGGAGTGGGATGCTGCGGGCAAGATGATGGGAGAGCGCCGACTCCGCAGCTTTTCTGGAAGTCAGTCCTCGGCTCAGATTGTCTCCGGGAGGGAGGAGGTGGTCTGGCGCTCATTCGGGCCCGGGGGAATGCATTGAAAAGGATTTCTCTTAAGTCCCCTTCATTGTCCTGCGGCGGAACGCGTGATCGTCTGCAGGGGGAACTGGGCAGGCTCCTCCGGGCCCCTTGCGGGCCGGGTACCTGGTTGTGAGAGACTCGGTGAGAAGCGTGTCCCTCTGTCTGGGTCCCTCAGATGGCGTCCAGGACTCGAATGTGCCCTTTCTCTTGCACTTCGCTCTTTGTGCAGTCTTCTAAGTAGTCAGACCGGCTGATTGCGCGCATAAGTTAGACCACGGTCGCTCCGGGTAAGGGGGATGCTGCGAAGGGCGTACTTTCATGGTTCGCTGCCCGGTGCAGTAGCTCTCGGGGCAAAATATAAGAACGGAAACTTGAGGCGAATTTTCAAGTTTTCTGTCCATGCCGAGAGAGCAATAGAGACCTGTTTCCCTTTCCATGGACAACTCCTCCAACTGTATCCATAGGGTTAAGTACATATACCAGCGCTGTTTCTTGTTGGCTAGGCAGTGACATATGTTTCTTGAAAACATTTTAAAGTATACAACACATGGCAATGAGCATATGTGCAAAAAATGAAAATTTCATTTGAAAAATAAGAAAAAGTCTAAAATGGGTGGCGAAATGCTAACTATAGCCGTGATAAACTGCTTGGAATTGTGCTGTGTTGTGGACTTTGCAGAGAGAAGGCCGTTTCGTTCATTCATTCATTGAAGCGTTCATGATGAAAGCCCTGGACCTGAGCCGCAATTGCGCGGCCAGGTCAGACTCTGCATGGCTCAGGACTGGAGAACAGAACGTTTACATAGTTATCCCCGGTAAAAGGAGCTGCCTTTTCGGAGAGATGGCTTTTGACTCTCTGCAAGGCTAACTCATTTCCATCAGGTTGCAGAAAGTGAACAAGTCCTGGTTTCCACAGTGTGGGGAAGAAGCAGCTTGACTTAGCTTTATTGTTCTGAAATTGAAAGTTCCAGCCCGACCCCTAGGAGGCGCCCTGCATATTTTCCGTGCGCCTCAGGCCTCCTTGGCTTGGACTTTTATGAATTGTGTTTTGAGAAAGTGGAGCTGCATGGGACTTTCCTGCTTGGAGATGTTGCTGGAAACCACCCTCAGTAGGAGACTTAGAATCATTCACATCACATTTATATTTGCAAATCCCTTTTCCAGTCCTGAAGGAGCCCTGGTGGCACAGTGGGTTAAATGCTGGGCTGCTAATTGAAAAGAAAGGTCGGTGGTCCCAACCTACCAGTCCCTCAAACGCAGTCTGCTCTTATAAAGATGTACAGCCTCAGGAATCCTAGGGAGCAGTTCTGTTCTGTCTCACAGTGTTGCAAGTGACACAGTAGCAGTGGGTTTGATTTTCTGGGTTTGAGATTCCCAGCCTGAGTCCCACAGTGTTGCAAATAATTAAAGAGAAAAGTTGGAGATTTGGGTCCACCCAGAGGCACCTCCTAAGAATGAATGGTCATTGAAAATCCTATGGACACATGTAGGGTTGCCTTTAGTCAGAAGGTACTCCAGGGCAACGGGTGGTTTCCCAATATGACCCCATTAACCATACCTTTCCTGCCAAATATCCTTGAGGGAGTTTTTTTATTTTCAAAATTAGTAATTTTGTGTCTTTTTTATATAGCTTGAATGATTAGTGAAATGGTATACATATTGCTGTTGTTGTTAAGTGCCGTCGAGTCGGATCCAACCCATAGCGACCCTATACAGGGTTTCCGAAGAGCGACTGGTGAGCTTGAACCACCGATCTTGCAGTTCAAACGGCTTTGCAGTCTGGCGCATTAATCCACAGCGCCACACCAGGACTGCGGTATACATATGTTCATAATCAAATAACCCTGACCTGCCTATCATATGCTGAATTAGCTATCTAGTGCTTATATAGTTGGAAATGATCTTTATCTAATAACATTGAGATGTTTAAAATTCCTGGGTCATTTTGAAGCCTATTTCTATGTAACCTTATAACTCACAGGATGTGACCCAATAATTCAATTATCTTTGAAATGCAACCTGTTTAAAGTGAGCTATTCCTAAGCACATGTGATGTGCTCCTAACAATAATACTCTGTTAAGTCTTTGTTAACTCTGTTACATAGAATTATAGTCACTAAATGGGTTGGCTCATCTCTTCTGCTTTAAACTTTTTTTTCCCCTAAGTAAAATAGATAATTTCAAGTAGTATTTAGCATGTATGTACTTCACAGTAAAGTATATGGGTGTAATGGATTTCAAAAGCACATTTTTCTTTTCTGTAGCTGTAATCCCCAAGAAAAGGGCCAATAAAAAATACTGATTTTAGTGGTTGGAAACAAGAATATGTGTAATAAAAATATCACTGCCCACCTCCAGCAGATCCTAGACTTTGGCCCATTTCTTTTTTCCCTTCCTCTTTTAGAGACATTAAATATAAATCTTTAACATCTGTAGTTACTTAATCTAGTGTGGTGGAGAATTCAAATGCATCAGAAATTTGAAAAAACTCATACACTGGCGTCTTATGTCACTTTTACAATTGTGTATCAGAAAATGCTTATTATTTCAAGGGACTGATCTTTGAGATACCCTATCATTTTATAATAATTGGTCCATAAAATCCTATGGATACTCATTATCATTAATAGTAAGACTGTATGGGAAAATGGAACAAATTATGTCTTCCAGTTTCAGGTATTTTACTCTCTATTTGGCAAATTGGACAAGTTAATTCACCTTTTTGTGCTGTAGTTTCATCCTCTGCAAAATGGAAATAATAACAGTAAGTACATTGAAAGGATGTTAATAATTAAGTGAAATAGAGCAAGCAGTATGCTTAGTACAGGTTCAGACCTTAATGAGCATTATCTACGAACATCATTATCACTATTTTATTCAACACTATCGGGGAAGTCCTTTTCCAAGCTATGCTCTCTGAGATGTATAATCATTTAGAAACCTGGGCGTTGAGTTTTAGAATCAAATAGTCTTGGGTGGAAATGTCAGACCAGTCACTCTGATTGTCTTTGACAATGGGCATCAGTGAAAGTCAGTCTTCCTATCTATAAAATGGATAGGATTGATTTGTTGAAATAATACATGAACAGTGTTAGCATGTGCATGCCACAGGTGCTGAACAAACGTTGACTTCATTACTGTTATACTAAGTGTGCATGCTCCTTATCTTGGACTCTCCTTCCTGCCCCCCTCATCACTATCTGTGTCCATGTGGTCATTAACTTGGTGAGTTTACCTCCTCAAAATCTGTGCAAGCATGTCCTCATTTTTGTTCTTACTGCTGACTTGGTCCAGGAATAGTTTTCCTCATGAAATAATGGGGCAATTCCCTTCTCCTCAGTAGTACTACCACTGTATTTTTTCTAAACACTATTGGAGTCTTGGTGTGACGCTGTAGGGTAAGCACTGGACTGTTAACTACATGGTTGGCAGTTCAAACCCACCAGCTGCTTCTTGGAAATCCTATACATGGTCTTTATGAGTTGGAACCAACTTGATGGTACTTAACAACAGTGTTGGATAACTACACACAGCCTTGTTTAAAATTCTTCATTGACTCCCTACAATGGTAAAAATAAGGTAGGTGCTCCTGAACCGTGTCCACGCCCCTTTCCATTTCTCCCCATTTCCCACCACTTTCTTATCACCTTGCTTGGTACTCTCCAAGTATGGTTTACTTGCGTTCTTCTTTGTCTAATCCCAGGGCCCTCTTGCATGGTATGCCCTCTTCATTTCTGTGCCCTCTCTATGGGCTGAGACTAACAATTTCATACTCATGGTAGCATGTGCTCACAAAATGAGAGTCATGCATCACATTGGGGGAAAACTTAGCCTGTTGGTACCCCAGCTGGCCAGGCATCCCAGAGCTGGGGGCATTAGCTCAGGCACACTTACTCATAGCTCATCAGTGTTTCCTGGCACAGTCTCAGTGTTAGAAAGCCTCTGTTTGGGTATTTAAACCCTGGAACACCTTCCTAGTCCTTTCCCCACTGAATTATTTATTAGGTGCCCTCCCCTGGTCTCACCCTGTGCTGAACTCCATTGTGTGTCTCTATTGTTCTACTTATCATGTGTAAATAATTGGCCTGCTTGTCTGTCTTGAGGTTTTCCTGGACTGGGAACATTGTATTCATATCTGTGTGCTCCTTGTCTTACAGTATTACTGGCAGTTTATGGCCACTTGTATTTGCCAAATTAAACTGAAGTAAATACTTTTGCTTAGGAATCAAGTTGCTTTTTAAAAAGTAATATTTTAGAACAGGTAATCCAGATGAATGGTACACCATTCAAGCCATTAAAAGGGGGAAAAAAAAGGTTGTCTTGCTTTTTCTTTTTTTTGAGGCAGATACTGCTTTTACTTCTTGGGTATCCTTGAGTATACCTCCAGAGATGGTTCTTTAAAAACAAACTACTTCATGAAACCTACTTTTTTTCTAATAGTTGTTGTTGTTAAGTGCTATCAAGTCAATTCTGAGCCTTAGCGACCCTGTGTAGGGTTTCCGAGAAGCAGCTGGGAAGTTTGAACCACTGACCTTGCAGTTCAAATGGCGTTGCAGTCTGGCGCATTAACCCACAGTGCCACACAGGACTCCTTTCTAATAGTATGTTGTTGTTGTTGTTGTTAAGTGCTATTGAGTCGGTACTGATCCATAGTGACCCTGTATAGGTTTCCGAGGAGCGACGATCGTATATATGAGGAGGCTTCAAAAAGTTCATGGAAAGATTCCATTATCTTATAATTCCTTTTGTTCCCCCATTAATTTGTGAAATTCCCACATATATTACCTAAGATAAATAATTGTTAAGTGCCATTGAGTAGGTTCCAACTGATAGCAACCCTATATAGGGTTTCCAAGAAGCAGCTGGTGAGCTTGAACCACCAACCTTGCAGTTCAAACGACTTTGCAGTCCAGTGCATTAACCCACAGTGCCACACCAGGACTCCAAGATAAATAAGATTATAAGACTTAAAATAAACAGCAAAACAACCAGATGCCATCAAGTGAATCTGACTCATGATTACCCCATGTGAATAAGCGTAAAACTGTGCTCCATAAGGTTTTCAATAACTGCTTTTTTATGGATAGGCCTCTCTTCTGAAGTGCCTCTGAATGGTCATCCACAGACTTCTAATAGTATAAGTACCAGTTATTTTCCAGCAAATTAAAAAATTCCTCTCTTGATTGCTCTCCTTCTACTACTCTTTTAGTGTACCTTAGGAGTCCCAGTGTGGTGCTGTGGGATAAAGCACTGGACTGCAAGGTCGGTTTGAACCACAATGTCTATGTTCAAATTCACCAGCTGCTCCTTGGAAACCCTTTACAGGGTTACAATGAGTTGGAACTGACTCTACAGCACTTAACAACAACATACAGAATACTAACACACCACTTAATGAATGTATATATTTGTAAATGCTTCAGCTTCCAACTTGTCACTTTCAAGAAGGACTTCGGCTGAAAAGTATTAGAGCAGTGCAATCTTTTATAATTTCGTAGATGGAACTTAGAACTTTGAACTTTTTCTAAAAGTATTACTTAGCCTGGTGTTAATAAGCTATTGCTTTAAGTCATAAAGTGCTTTAGAAAATATATTTTTAGGACATTTATGATATAGATATAGAGATGGGATGCTGTAGATAAGCACTGGACTGTTAACCACAAGGTTGGTGGTTCAAACCCACCAGCTGCTCCTTGGAAACCCTATACAGGGTTGCTATGAATCACAATCAACTCCATGGCCCTTAACAGCAAGAGTGATGTAGAGAAGTCAGATTTGAGAATAATTCTACTAGAAATTAAAGACAGATTCATTT